AGAGAGAGAGAGAGAGAGAGAGAGAGAGATTGAGATACATTGACGTTCAGATACATACATAAGCGCTTCAATACACGTTTGGTACATGAAGATAAAAATACACAGAAACGAAGATACACAGATAATATGCCAAATACACGATTATATAAATCTGGATGGATTTTTTGCTAATATTGTAGTGATAGTATATAGCCACAGTCGAGCTTTTCTGAGGACCACCTGCCCAAGACAACCACACATTTAAACAACCACGTCCTACTTCTTCTTTGAGATTTATTTTCATATCGTTAACATTAAATGACATTTTCCAAAACGTTCACTGAACACCCACTTTTCTCTTCAACAATAGATGGCCGTCCTGGGCAGTTTCGATTGTACTTATGACATCGTTACGGTATCAGCTTCACATCACTGGCTGTTGGAAGAGGGAGTTGATAAAACGTGTTTATGTATGTCTTGGCTAAAGCTTTTACTAATACGTTTTTGATTAACTTCCATTATGTTTACAAAGTTGATTTAAACTTTTTCATAATTTGGCATGCATCCACAGACTTGTAAGTGGGGGCCCTCGTGGCCTAGAGATTAAGGTGTTGGCCTCTCATTCAAAGTTCCCGGGTTCGATTCCGCTTAGCGACCGAAAATTTTTCTCCTCTAAAATTGTCTCCTTTCACCTCCTTTCCTGCGTTCTAGCAATGTTCTGTCGTCTGCTTTCGTCTCCTCTTTCTCCCCCCCCCCTCACCTCCTTTGCCCCCTCCTGTGGGGAAGGTATAATTACCGCATATCACTAAATATCACCGCATATCACTGAAAATCTCTAAATATCACCGCACATCGCTTAATATTAATATCACCACATGTCGCTTAATATCACCACATGTCACTAAATATCACCGCATATCACTAAATATCACCGCATATCGCTAAATATCACAGCACATCACTAATAAATATCACCGCTCACCAATCACCAATTATTGGGTGTGGTGTGTGACCCTGTGTGTGTGTGTGTGTGTGTGTGTGTGTGTGTGTCTGACTCTCTCTTTGTCTGTGTTTCTCTCTCTCTCTCTCTCTCTCTC